CGGTCCCGGGGCGCATGAATGTCAGAGATTCGGCGGGGAGGCTTTCGGGGGCTTTGGAAGTTCCCGACACTTTTCGAAGGCACTCGGCGGCACTCGGCTGCTCTCGAAGGCATTCGGTGAATGGGCAGCGGGACGGGTACGGGGTGAGGGCCTGGTGGTTTGCAGAGGACCGAGGAGCCGCTGGAGCACCAAAGATGGGGAAGAGGATGGAAGAAAAGGAAAAGGATGGGAAGGAGGAGACGGTATGAGGGCCATAAAGCCCACGAAAATAATCCCGAGAGACCCCGAGAGGCAGATTGAGGGCCTCCGAACCAGAAACCAAAGCACGAGGTATCGACGCCCGCTGGGATTCATATGACCCAAGTGGCATCTCTTGGGTACAACTTGAGTCATATGGCTTGCATCCAGGAAGGAAGCATCCAAACATGCCCCCGAAAGGCATCCACATAAACCCTTACAGTCATGCAACACACCTCTGACCCACTACCCAGGCACGGTGGCGAGATTGGCCGAAGGTCACTAGATCCGCCGCCCCCTGATGGCTTGCCATAGGGGTGCCCGGCGTGCTAGATCCTTTCGATGTTGGTTTTGGTTCTTTTCCAAAAACTCCCCCTGGCGCTTCGGCCGATCCCGCCGAGGTCCCGGAAAGGCCCCGCAACCACCTCAACGACCGCAAAAAATTCTCCAAGACGGCTCCAGATGGCCTCTAAGATGGTCACGTTGGCCCAAGATGACCTCCAAGATGGCCCAAGATGGCCTCCAAGTCGCCAAAGATGGTCCAAGATGGCTTCCAAGACGGCCCGAGGGAGTCCAAGATGCCTTCAAGTTCGTCCAAGAAGCCTCCAAGACGGCCCAAGATCGCTCCAAGATGGCCTAAGACTGGCCAAGAAGCCCCCAAGAGGCCTCCAAGACGTCCTCCAGAAAGGCCCGAATGGGCAAAAATCATTAACTGTCCATGGGTTTTTGAAGGATTTTGGTATTTTCTTCTTATCAGCTCTCCAACGGTCCAAGACTGCCCAAGAGGCCCCCAACATCGTCCCAAGAGCGCCCAAGAGGCCTCCAAGATGGCCCCATGACAGCCCAAGAGGCCCCCCAGAGGGCCCCAAGACGAGCCCAAGACGGCCCAAGATGGCCCCGAAGACGCATGGCCTCCACGACGGCCAAGATGGCCTCCACGACGGCCAAGATGGCCTCCAAGATGCCTCCAAGACGGCCAAGAAGACCTCCAAGACAGCAAAGATGGCCCCAAGATGCACCCAAGACGGCCAAAGATGGCCTCAAGATGGCCTTAGACTGCCCAGAAGGCCCGCAAGAGGCCTCCAAGACGGCCCAATAGCCCTCCAAGACGTCCTCCAGGAAGGCCCGAAAGGGTCAAAATGGCCTCCAGACGGCCAAGATGGCCTCCAAGATGCCTCCAAGACTGCCAAAAAGGCCTCCAAGACAGCGTAGATGGCCCCAAGATGCACCCAAGACGGCCCCAGATGGCCTCAAGATGGCCTTAGACTGCCCAAAAGGCCCACAAGAGGCCTCCAAGACGGCCCAAGAGCCCTCCAAGACGTCCTCCAGGAAGGCCCGAAAGGGTCAAAATGGCATCCAGACGGCCAAAATGACCTTCAAGATGGCCTCCAAGACGGCGTAGATGGCCCCAAGATGCACCCAAGACTGCCCAAGATGGCCTCAAGATGGTTCAAGAGGACTCTTCCTCCCTTCCCCCTTTTCCTCACTCTCCGCTTCTTCCCCAACCTCGTCCACGTGTTCCCCGAAAGCATTCCAAATCGATTCGGGAAACACTAATTCCGAAAGATTGGCAAGGATCTGACCCAACCTTCGGCCAGCAGGTCCCAAGACGCCTCCAAAAGCACACAAGAGCCCCCAAGAGGCCCCGAACACGCCCATTCCTCACTTTCCTCCTCTTCCCCGTCCTCCCCCACGTGTTCTCCGAAGGCTTTCCAAACCGACTCGGGGAACACATGGCCCGATAGCTTGGCAGGGCTCTGGCCCCAACGTTCGGCTACATAGGCGCTTCCGAAAGGGCAGGGGGCGGCGGTGGCTCGCCGTAAGCGTCTTCGACATGACCAGAGCCACCTCTATGCATCGAGGGACGTACTGCAGAAAACCTTCCCTCTCCTCCTCCTCCTCCTCCTCCTCCTCCTCCTCCTCCTCCTCCTCCTCCTCCTCCTCCTCCTCCTCCTCCTCCTCCTCCTCCCCTCCTCCTCCTCCTCGTCATCCTCTTCCGCCTCCTCCAAGGCGGCGTGCAGCCAGACGGACGGACAGCCAGGATCTGTTTCCCTTATGCAGTGACCACCCACGTGGCTTGCCAGGCATTGCACGCCGCCTGGCTGTCCGTCCGTCTGTCTGTCTGTCTGTCTTCCCGGCTCTCTGAGCCGCGGCGCTTTGAGCTTTTTAGCTCGGGGACGCGTCGGCCACCGCCGCCCTCTTCCTTGTCGGTGGCCCTGACGACGTTGGGGGAGAGGGTGCCGAAACGCGCCCAGAGTCCAGCAAGGCATGAGGGTGCAAACCCGACTTGTCTGGCTGATGCTCTGGGGGGGCCTGTGCTCAGGGGAGGCTGCAGCACCGCTCAACGATGTGCTGTTTAACCGAACCTGCAGGGTGGGCCCATTCCCAAATCCATGTTTCGGTGCGGATTGTAAGCGCGCCTCGTCTCCGTCGTCGTCGTCGTCGTCGTGGTCGTGGTGCGTGCTGCTCTTCTGCTCGAGACTCTGTTTCCCTTATGCAGTGACCACCCACTTGGCTTGCCAGGCATTGCACGCCGCCTGGCTGTCCGTCCGTCTGTCTGTCTGTCTGTCTGTCTGTCTGTCTGTCTGTCTTCCCGGCTCTCTGAGCCGCGGCGCTTTGAGCTTCTTAGCTCGGGGACGCGTCGGCCACCGCCGCCCTCTCCCTTGTCGGTGGCCCTGACGACGTTGGGGGAGAGGGTGCCGAAACGCGCCCAGAGTCCAGCAAGGCATGAGGTGCAAACCATCTTGTCTGGCTGATGCTCTGGGGGGGCCTGTGCTCAGGGGAGGCTGCAGCACCGCTCAACGATGTGCTGTTTAACCGAACCTACAGGGTGGGCCCATTCCCAAATCCGTGCTTCGGTGCGGATCGTAAGCGCGCCTCGTCTCCGTCGTCGTCGTCGGCGTCGTCGTGGTCGTGGTGCGTGTTGCGCTGCTCGGGATTATGTTTCCTTTATGCAGTGACCACCCACTTGGCTTGCCAGGCATTGCGCGCCGCCTGGCTGTCCGTCCGTCTGTCTGTCTGTCTGTCTTCCCGGCTCTCTGAGCCGCGGCGCTTTGAGCTTCTTAGCTCGGGGACACGTCGGCCACCGCCGCCCTCTCCCTGGTCGGTGGTCCTGACGAGGTTGGGGGAGAGGGTGCCGAAACGCGCCCAGAGTCCAGCAAGGCATGAGGGTGCAACCCACTTGTCTGGCCTGTATGGTGCTGGGGTGCCTGTGCTCAGGGGAGACTGCAGCACCACTCAACGATGTGTTGTTTAACCGAACCTGCAGGGTGGGCCCTTTCCCAAATCCGCGCTTCGGTGCGGATCGTAAGCGCGCCTCGTCTCCGTCGTGATCGTCGTTGTCGTCGGCGTCGTCGTGGTCGTGGTGCGTGTTGCTCTGCTCGGGAATTGTTTCCCTTATGCAGTGATCACCCACTTGCATTGCCAGGAATTGCGAGCCGCCTGGCTGTCCGTTTGTCCGTCCGTTCGTCTGTCTGTCTGCTTTCCTGGTTCTCTGAGCCGCGGCGCTTTGAGCGTCTTAGCTCAGGGACGCGTCGGTCACCGCCACACTCTCCATTGTCGGTGGCCCTGACGCGGTTGGGGGAGAGGGTGTCGAAACGCGCCCAGGGTCCAGCAAGGCATGAGGGTGCAAACTCAACTTGCCTAGCTGATGCTCTGGGGGGGCCTGTGCTCAGGGGAGGCTGCAGCACCGCTCAACGATGTGCTGTTTAACCGAACCTGCAGGGTGGGCCCTTTCCCAAATCCGTGCTTCGGTGCGGATCGTAAGCGCGCCTCGTCTCCGTCGTCGTCGTCGTCGGCGTCGTCGTGGTCGTGGTGCGTGTTGCTCTGCTCGGGATTCTGTTTCCCTTATGCAGTGACCACCCACTTGGCTTGCCAGGCATTGCACGCCGCCTGGCTGTCCGTCCGTCAGTCTGTCTGTCTGTCTTCCCAGCTCTCTGAGCCGCGGCGCTTTGAGCTTCTTAGCTCGGGGACGCGTCGGCCACCGCCGCCCTCTCCCTTGTCGGTGGCCCTGACGACGTTGGGGGAGAGGGTGCCGAAACGCGCCCAGAGTCCAGCAAGGCATGAGGGTGCAAACCCGACTTGTCTGGCTGATGTTCTGGGGGGGCCTGTGCTCAGGGGAGGCTGCAGCACCGCTCACGATGTGCTGTTTAACCGAACCTGCAGGGTGGGCCCATTCCCAAATCCGTGCTTCGGTGCGGAACCGTAAGCGCGCCTCGTCTCCGTCGTCCGTCGTCGTCGGCGTCGTCGTGGTCGTGGTGCGTGTTGCTCTGCTCGGGATTCTGTTTCCCTTATGCAGTGACCACCCACCACCACCACCACCACCACCACCTCCGCCTCCTCCTCATCCTCAGCCTCTTTCTCCTCCCCCTCCCCCTCCTCCTCCTCCTCCTCCCCTCCTCCTCCTCCCCTCCTCCTCCTCCTCAACCTCCTCCTCAGCCTCCTCCTCCTCCTCCTCAACCTCCTCCTCCTCCTCACCCCCTTCAAACTTCACACAGCCCTGGCACACACCAAACTTCAATGTGCGTGGCCATTGGGGCTAGGCGTGTCGGCCAGAAGTCTTGGCAGCGACGTCAGGAGTTGCGCTCATCCAGAAGCCTTATCCGAGCACCCCGGTGGAGTGTGACAGTCCACCTGGGTGCTGGAACAGGGCGCACCCCTCACTCCCCCGCCTCCCTCACCCGCCCCCCTCCTCCGCCCCTCCCATCGCCCTCCTCCAACTTCCCGAGGCAGCGCGCGCGGGCGGGGGCCGCGCGGCTGGTCTC